GTCTTTTCTCTGAACCTCCCCCTGCTGTCTCCTTTTCACTGCCAGTGCCCTTTCCTCTTCCAAAGCCCGTCCCTAATGTTGCTTATTGATGAAGCCTGTTCTTGTCATTAGCTCGGTGATCTCCCCTCAGAATGATCTTCACATTCTGTACCTATTTTTCCTTTATAATATTTTCCTTGCTTTACCTGTATCATCACTGTACTTGCCCCCTGAAAGCAGGCAATTTGTGACTAAATGCCCATGTCACTCACATGTCCAGATCACAGTTCCTGTATTCAGGGAAATTTTCAGTTAAGGACCCTATTGAATGACTTTTCTTTTTAACTTTGAAAAGATTTTATTTCTTTATTTTTAGAGAGAGGGGAAAGGAAGGAGAGAAATATGAATGCATGGTTGCCTCTCACATGCCCCCTACTGGGGACCTGGCCCACAACTCAGGCATGTGCCCGGACTGGGAATTGAACTGGTGACCTTTTGGTTTGCAGGCCAGCACTCAATCCACTGAGCCACACCAGCCAGAGCATTGAAGGACTACTATTAACCCATGGATCACTTTACTTAAAGTTAAGGACATTAACAAAAAAGAGATTGGGAGTGTTGACATACTTTGAAAAAAAAGTTTTAGAAAGAAGGATTTAAAATATAATTTTTTGATAGAGCAAATGTTTTAAAATGACTTCTTTTATTTCTCCCATCAAAACATCTGTGCTGTGGCTCCCACAAACTGCCCAAAGACTTCCTCATCTGATAGGACATGCTCCCTATTCTCTCATGCACATCCCATCGGCCACATCAAAGTGATTTTCCCAGAGTAGTTAAGATTTGAGAATCTGCCATCAAGCATTCAGAATTGAATATAATGCTCCCACGTGGTCTGACTTTCATGTTATGAAAGAGAATCTTTTTGTATCTGTGGTCTTTTTTGAGCTCTGAATGTAGACAACTGCTGCATCCCTTAGCTATTTTAGCAACCACAGCACAGTGGCACCTCTTATAGTCAACTGAAACCACTAGCTATTTTCCCAGCTTGTTTCGGACCTCCCTGAGGCACATGTGATCAGAGATTATATTCATGGCTATGTTGTTTTAAAGAGACACGTAACTATTTTGCATCTTGGAATGTGGCTGCATAAAATGGGGTTTGAGTACCACACTCGTAATGTCATCCATTTGAATCATATACACCACTGACACTACAAGGTCTTGCACTTTCTTCAAGCTCTCTGGGTACAGGTCTGTTCCCTTATCCACAATTCCAAAGTCAAAAAAACTCTGAAAACTACTTTAGAACTCATTTGGTGGCAAAATCTGATCTGAAGCTATTTATAGGTTATGTTTATCTCCCTTAGTACGAGTTCCGGCATTTTTCTGCAGGAATGTTTTCTTTGACTAAAGATTTTTTTTTCTCCAGTGTTCACTAAGGTTTTACCACCGAATATTCAATTAATTCTTTGTATTAATCTTCTAAATTCAACACACACACAGGCACAAAACTGAAATAAAAACATCTCTGATCCTAAGGGTAGCAAGATTAGGTCCAAGCCTAGCGTAAGTGTAATAAAAGGGATTCTGGTCCAAGCCTAGCATAAGTGTAATTAAAAAAAAAATTCACAGATAGTTTTCTTGCTCTGCGGCACGCATCAACTTTTAGTGGGGGAAATAAAGTCACCTTTTATAATAGAATGTCTGTGTTAACATTGCACATTGATCAATCCAGACTATTTCTGATAACTTTCCAAGGACCTAGAGATGTTCATCAAGACTGACCCTATTATTTCCATTTTTAAGGGATGTACCGAAGATTACACAGTGACTGTCTTGGGAATTCCAAGACATTTTTGACACTCACTTCTACCTGAAGTATTTAGATTTCTAAGAGCGCAAAAAATTAAGTTGGAAAACTTTTCCCCTATAGAGCTCTCAGATTAGAACTTTCTGGAATAAAATTTTGTTAGTTAAATACATCTTCATGTTAGGAAGTGGAGCAAAAATGTTATCAAAGCATTTTGTTCAAAGGTGTATTCTGTGTAAATTGTGTGTGTGTGTTTTTTTTTAGTGTGAATGGCGAGTTGAATTCTTGCATGACTTTTTTTTTTCTAAAAATAAAATTACTTAGAAGAAATTTCCCCTCACATGTTCATAGACTCCAGTGGAGCATTTTCTAAGTTATTCTTTTGCCCACCTAGAATACCCAATGAGGTCAGGGAGATTCCACTACAAAGGTATTTTGTTTGCTTCATTTTACAAGGAAATAATATGAAAGAAATCTATTCCTTTCATGGCCTTAAATGCACCTGATTTTTCAGCTGTGAAATAATGAGAGTACCTGCCATGCCTTCAACCATTATTATGTGAGTTAGAGATTAATTTTATGAAGTGCCAAACCATGAACGGGAGCACTGAGAAAGTGACGGGTGTACCTTTTTGTGTATTTCTAATTACCATTTCCATCTAGAAGAATGGTAAAGCTCATCTTCATTTAATCTGAAAACTTCAGGTAGTCAAAATGTAGGAGACAGAGAACTGGAGTTTCCATTCCACTAGGCAGAAGTAGAAAATGATGTTACTAAGGGAAAAGATGGCTGGTGTGAATGTAAGAAATAAACTGGTTGTGGGGCTTGGCAGTTAAATCGTAAGGGCTGGGAGATGAACCACAGGATGAACGCTTCTTTTAATTCAGTTTCGGGTGTTTCAGAACTAGTACAATTAGCAGCAACTGTTCCAGATGTAGTTTGTTTGAGCAAAGGGAAAGATAAAAAGAAAGCCATCACCACAGGCAAAATTGGGAATAAGTTTATACTTAATCTCAAGTGCTCTTATCATGCTGTGTAACTAAATAAACATCATCCCTCCTTCTATTGGCTGCTTCTGCACTCTTGGGGCAGAGGTTAAGGCTTCTGAGTTGCAAAACCTCCCCTAAGAGAAGGACTGGACAGTATGGTTCTCTAGTGGGAATCTGGCAGAATCTAGGGAGGCATGCTTTGAGGGGCTACGTTGGCCCTAAGTGTCCTTTTCCACTAAAGACACCAGTGGTAAGCCTCTACATTTTACTTTAGGTTCAGTGAGACTCACGTTTGTAAGAAAAGAAAAAGGCAAAACATTTTCTCCCTATTTCTCCTCCATTCCTCCCTTGGAAAACCAAACCACCCGAGGAAGGAGAAAGCTGGTTTTCTTTTCATACGATAACTTTGCAAAAGGGGTCAAAGCAGAGGAGTGGCTCTCAAGCCTAAGAATACATTATATTCACTGGGGAAGCTTTTCAAGTATAGTAACATACGTCTCTCACTACAGATCAGCGGAGTCAGGATCCCGGGGAGTGGACATTCTGTCTTTCAAGTCTCAATAATGACCCGAGTTGTGGTGATGTAAACCATTCTGAACTACTGGAGATTATACAAATACCTACTTAGACCCTCATTTTGCCCATCAGCCACGAGCAGGGTGGAATCCCACTGCCAAAGGAGGGGATTGTGGTGCTGTCCACTGAGTGCTATGTGGCTGGAGCACATGCTGAAAATGAGTGACAGGGCCCGAGCTGCTCGAGGCCGCAGACTTGATTGAGAGGGGAAACTGAATGTAAAATGGATAAAGGAAACAGAATTGAGAAAAGAAAAACCAAGTGAAGATACATACAGTAATTTTCTAGAGACTTCTTTTTGTTTCAGAAATTCTTTGCACCTTCTCTCCACATGTTATGTTGGGTCATATGTATGAATCGAAAAGAAAATGTGAAAAAGTGGATGTATATAGGAAATTTACCACTGTCAATCAAGTGACTAGCTGTGCAGATATTATATGATGATAATCTATCTTTGTGAACATGGCACTTGTGAATCAAGATTTTTAGAATATTTTAAAAGGGACATTAAAATATCACACAGGAAGATAAAATTAACGGAAAAGTAGAATATTTTATCCCTTCCCCTAGGCACCCAATGCCTATCCAGTACATACTAAGTGAGAGAGTAATGGCGCCTGCACTGCCTACTTGAAAACAAATCCTATTTGGCCCCATAAAGGGGTGTTTTCAGGCATCGAGGCCATCAGCTCGGTTCTCCAATCTGAAAATGCTCAAAGGATGGAGGCAGAACTTGTACAAGTATTTTAAACCGTGTAACCATATGGAATCACCTTTCATCCCCACCCTCACTCCCCCTACAGCTGGTACTCATTTTTCTGTTGACAAAGTTGAATTGTTAAACACAAGTAAAAAGCCTGAGATGTTATTGGGTCAGGTGTATTAAAATAAAAATCAAAAAATAGAAATATTAGGTATATACATGACAGCATAAGTGAAACATGTGATAAAGCATTTTGCATTTAGAGCTTACAGTAGTAAGAAAAATTTAGTAAACCAAACCTCTGTGTCCCTTGCTCATCCGAGCTTTCTCAGGTGCTTATTTTCCTTTCTATCTTGTATAAATAGACTCAAACACATCTTACACCATTTAGAAAAGATTGCTGAATCACAAAATAGCCCCCAGATAATGGCATTTTTACTTTGAGTACAACTAAAATTAATATTTGATCATTAAAATAATGTTCAAATCATCTGAAGCAATAAAGAAAATTTTTAAGTTTTGTAAGGTTCTGCAGAGATTAGAATCTTAATTGTTCTTCCAACTACATTGTCAACAAAAGTCTGTATATAGGAAACTGTGGAGTTGAAAAGCCAAAACGTTTAAAAATAGTCGTTCTTAAGGTAAGAGCAGTTTCTGAGGCTCTTCTCCCTTTCCTGGGAGGTCTGGGCCCGGCAGTCAGTAAGGTCCACGTCACTTAACACAGCAGCTCTGCATGGCCCACAAATGACACTTCTACAGGAAAGAGACCAGGAAAGCATAGCTGCTTCATCCCTGGGGGTGCTGGGCAGTCTCCACAGATGGAAACACTGAACAGATTGCAGGTGGAGGGGTAATCACTGAAATCTGGGAAAGATATTTTCAAGCTTCTGACTTCACCTGCAAAATCTAACAGGTTGGATTAGTAATTTTTAATCAAATAAGCCAAAGCATAGAGAAAATACAAAGAAGTGCCATGATAGGTATCTGGTTATTTTACTTTTATAAATGAGTTTAGTTGTACTAGTTGAGATTTATGGAAATGGCCTCTGAACCTCTCAGTCACACATCCAATTGTAAACAAGAGGCCAAAGTTGGCGTATTTTGGGTAGAACAGGTGTTTTTTCCTCAGAAGACTGTATTCAGATGTTGGTCTAGCCAAGCAAGATGGCCAGTTGGGGGCAGGCCAAGGGGCAGAGCCGTGGGCATCCTCTGGTGAGGAGAAGATACTCTTCCATGTAGACAGTGTTTCTTCCTGAGTAATTTAGCCTCATTTCAGGAAGCAGGGACAGTAGATGATCTTAGCACATGAAAACTAATGCATCCAGTAGTTATTGTTTCTTCTTTAATGAGGCAGCTGTCCCTGAGAAGGGCCACAGGTCGTCCTGTGCTCTAAGGCTGCTGCTGATACTGGCCTTCTGTGGCAGTGTAGAAATCATCCAAGACGCTCTGCAGGTAATCAAATGTTGGCCTCTCTTCTGCCTTTTCTTTCCAGCACATCTTCATGATTTCATAGAGCTCCTCTGGGCAGTTCTCCATGCGGGGCATCCTGTAGCCCTGAGACAGCGCGGTCATCACATCAGCATTAGTTCTCCCTAAAGCAAAATAATAATAATAATAATAATAATAAAAATTTAAAAAGCCATACCATTTAGCAACCTGACTGAGGAGTAAGCATTGCACTGGTCTTGCTACCCACCTCCCGCATTCATTATTAAAGCAAGCTCTAGAGGCTGCTGTGGGCTGAATCATGACCCTGCAAATTTGTATGTTGAGGTTCTAGCCCCCGGTACCTCAGAATGTGACTGTATTTACAGATAAGGCCTTTAAAGAGGTCATCAGATTAAAATGAGGCCTTTAGGGTAGGCCCAACCCAACCAGACCGGTGTTCTTACAAGAAGAGATCAGGACACAAACAGACCCGGGACCCATGTGCACAGAGGAAAGGCTGTGTGAGGACACAGTGAGATGTCCACCTCCGAGCCAAGGAGAAGCCTCAGGAAAAACCAGCCCTGCCAACACCTTGCTCTCAGACCTCTGGCCTCCAAACCTGTGAGAAAATCATTTCTGTTGTTTGAGCCACTCAGGCGGTGGCATTTTGTTATGGACGCCCTAAGAAACTGATATGAAGGCTGAGAATGCTTCCGTAAGCAACTAAATACCATAAATTTTAGCATAATGGGAATCAACACAGCATTCAGTTTGCCAAAAGTAAACAAGCAAATGTGGTAAGTAGAAGACAAAGCAAGTTCTTTCACAACAAAAGGATACTGGACTTGACTGACTTTGTGAATGGTCTACTCAAGCCCACCCTGAACCCTCAATGTTAATTTCTTTTGTAGTATTTTTTCAGCTTCTATCTGTAATACATCATCAAAATCATATGCACATACATTATCTCATACTAATATTTTTAAAAATCAGTTCTTCATTGTAAATTTACTTAAAGAAGTCAGGATCCTTAAATCAACTAAGACAACTGACTATGTCCCAATTATTAAATTGCCCGTCCTCCGCACAGGCTAGAGTCAGAGCTCACACTGACTCTAGAACGTGTGTGTTCTCGATATCCCATGAGGGAACTAGGCAGTGTTGTTCCTACAGGGCTCTGTGAGAGGACTGGTCGTGGAGGACGGTCAAATGTCTCACAGTAGTTCAGATGCTTAACTTCTGATCTTTGTTATTGAAATAATTTTAAGAAAAAAGGACCATTTAATAACATTTTCCTCCCTTATTAAAATAGGACAGAGAAATGAGCTAATGTAGAGGTTTTAGCAGCACTCACCCATATCTGTATGCATTGCCTATTTTGTGTATACCTTATTCTGTAGAGATAGGAACTTCTCTAGGGAGGAGCTGTGTTTCATCTGGAATATTTTCATGCAACATGTGTACACTACTTCCCTGGCCGGGAAGCTCAGTTGGTTAGAGCGTCACCCCGATTTGCCAGGGTTACTGGTTGAATCATCAGTCAAGGCACATACAAGAATCAACCAATAAATACATAAATAAGTGGAATGACAAATTAATGTTTCTCTATCTGTCTACCTTTCTCTGTTTCTCTAAAACCAATAAATAGAAAATTAAAAAGAAAAAGGATATGTACTCTATTCGCCATATGTGGAACTCCATCAAAACCAATTCCCTTTCCATAGCTATCTCCTTTCCTTAGCCATGCATTTTGCCACTAGTGGTCATCAGAATGACTCTAAAAGATAGCTTGAAGCGTAGGAAAAATGTCTTTTATCAGCTTCGGAACAAAATTTACTTTAGAATTTACTCTCTAAGCAGTGTTTTTCAAATTATGGGTCACCACCCATTTGGAATCAACAAATTCATTTTTTAGGGAGCAACCAATATTTGAAAAAAAATTAACAGAATGAAGAAAGATCAGAAGGCACTATATATGTAAAAATTAGTGTGGTTTATGAAAGTTTTGTTCTATATATGGAGTAGGTTTCTGTGTATTTCTTAGCATGGGTCATGATCAGTGACCTTTGAACTCTGCCCTTAACTCACCTTTTTTCCTCTAAGGACACAGTGACTGAAAGGCTCTGCCTGGATTTAAACCTCTGAAAGAAGACATGATTGTTTTTGTCTGAAAAGCACCCTTGGTTTTGAAATGGAAGATCCGAGCAAACTTATAATTTCTAAGCTCTTTGGAAAGTTGTTTAGATGGTGAGTTACTTTTTCTTATGTCAATTTCTGAAATACCGTCTTCCAATACTTGTGTAACTGGCGTGCTCTAACTAGAAGACTTCACTTGATTCTCATTGCTTGGAACCAAGGGGCTGATTAGTATCACGTTCTTTATTTGGGGTTCTCGTCTCTGTAAAATTTGTGGCTGCGACATTGTCTTGACTGTTGAAACTAGACAAGTTCACTCAAATAACTTTCAGAAGAGATCTCTGTGTTTACTTCCTCATGGGGATTGGGTGTGGGTCTGGGATCCTGCTGGGGGGACTAACATGCAGGGCGATAGAAACAGCAGTTGGACCCGTGAACTTGGTTAGGGATATCTTTCACTTCCTTCCTGGAGAACCCCCAGTGGCATAAAAGGTCAGAACGCGCCCACAGAAAATAAACCTTTCTAGGGCCCCTAAACCCACTGCAGACTTTTCTTCCTTGTTCTCATGTTCTCCTAATGCTGAAGAACTCTTTCGATGCAGAAAAAGGCCAGGCATGCTCCATTCTGCCTGGGGAATTTAATTTGATAAGAACAAAAGAAAGAAAATCTGGAGTCTATCTTTTACTGTAAAAGTCAACCAATAAACAAAATAAGGCTATTAAATAAGTCTTAAATTAAAGTCTAAGATTAAAACTGATATTTGGTAATTTGCCTGTTGTTAGGTCAAAAGCAGCAAACACCCATTGACTGGTGATCTTAAAATGCAAGCACTTTCGTAACCCATCCTTCATTCTTTCAACAAGCATTTATTGAGTACTTCCTATGGGTATCAGCTAGCACTAAGCTCTGAGAGATACAAGGATAATGATGGCAGAGACTTGTCCTCAAGTGGCACCCAGCCCCGTGGGGAAGATGACCCCAGGACAGGGAAGGGGGTAAGTGGGAGCGGGAAGTGACATCTGGAGTGGATAAGAGTTAGCAAAGACTAAAGGTTGGTGAAGGAGCACAGAAAGGAGAAAAATGAAACACAGCAGAGATTAGAAAGGAACATGGTATTTGCGACTGGAGATGAGAGCCCAGCAGTTCGGGGAACTGCGACAATCTTAAAGACAAAAGGGCCCTCGATGTGTGTGAGAGGAAGGAAGTACCAGCTACCATGGGACCACAGTCTCAATAATACTTCCAGAATGGCAAATTCGTTATTTCTGAGCATGCTGTGACCAGGGTGAGCATTGCAGTGGGACGAGTTTCCTGGCTCTGAGTCACAAAGGGCACTGAGACGCTGCATATGGTTGGTAAGAATCAGCCAGGAAAGACATGAGGCTTCGGAAACCTTTGTCATTTTCAAACCTCCTTTCTCTTTATGAAAGAAAAGCACAAAGATCCCCTTTAGTTTTTTTAGAAGATTAAAATGTAAATATTATTATAGTTTTCCTTTTAAGATAGTGAAGTAAAGATCTTTGCCCCATCCCCCATTTCCCCCTCTTTAATTCATTCCCCACAAAAGAGAGCAAGAAACAAACTTTAAGTCTGTTCTTGATGAAGCTGGTTGAAGGTGTCAACCAGCGGCAGAAGTGGTCTGCGTCAAGAGGAGGAGAGTGAAACTACAATGCCTGCAGGAAAGGATGGGTGGGATGTGTCCTCACACCCACTGCACCTGCGACGCTCCACAGTTACCACACATGCAAAGGTGAGGTGGGTGGCGGCAGACAGGAAGGTACCTATAAAGCCTGCCTGGCAGGTGCGCCAGGGTAACACTGGAGAAACTGAAGGAACGCCAGGCCCAGGGAAGGTGGGGCAAAGAGTGGGACGGAGTGAGGAGAAAGGCTGACCATGAAAAAGCGAGGTGCATCTGATACCTCTGAACGTGGATGAAACTTGAGGACATTATGCTGAGTGAAGTCAGCCAGACACAGAGGGACAAATACAGTATGGTTCCACTTAACAGGAGGCACCTAAGTAGTTGAATTCATAGCGACAGACAGTAAAATACAGGTTGCCAGGGACTGAGGGGTTGGGGAAATGGAAAGTTAGTGTGTAATGGATACACCGTCAGTTTGGGAAAGATGCAATAGCTCTGGAAATGGTGGTGATGGTTGCACAACATTGTGCTGCATTTAATTAATGTCACTGAACTGTACACTTAAAAATGGTTAAGATGAGCCCTGGCTGGTGTGGCTCAGTGGATTGAGGACTGGCCTGCGAATCAAAGGGCTGCCGGCTCGATTCCCGGTCAGGGCACATGCCTGGGTGGCGGACCAGGTCCCCGGTAGCGAGCACATGAGAGGCAACCACACATTGATGTTCCTCTTTCCCTCCCTTCCCCTCTGTCTAAAAATAAATAAATAAAACCTTTAAAAAAATGGTAAGATTGTAAATTTTATTCTGTTTATATTTTACTATAATAAAAAGAATCCAAAACCAACCAACCAACCAACCACACACACACACACACACACATATGCCCCCTCCCCAGTGAGCCTCCAGAATGTGGACATCCAGGCTTGTACCCCACAGGCAGGGTTGAAAATGACAAAGGTTTCCCAAGCATCATGTCTTTTCTGTTTCTCACCAACCGTATGTAGCATCTCAGTGCCCTCTGTGATTCAGATCCAGGGAACTCATCCTGTTGAAAATGCTCACCCTGGTCACAGTATGCTCTTAGGAAGGAGCTCAGTGGCCCCAGAGAACAGTCCTGAAGCCTGGGAGGGTGCTGACAAGTAAGCCTGGAGGTCCAGAGACCCTTGTTCCCATGATATCTCATCAGAGGAAGGGGAGAAGGTAAGCCTGAGGGCAGTAGGGAAGGACTGAATGACAGGGACAGAAAGAGCAGACATGAGAGTCAGAGAATCTCTCCAGCAGGTCTACCATATTACTAGCAAGTGATTCAGAAATAGAATCAAAAGTAGAGAGGAGGAAATTTTCAAAGAAGCAACCTATGAAAATTTCCTAGAATTTATGACTATAAGTTTCCAAATAGAAAGGACAAAACAAGGACCCAGCATAACACAGAAATGACAAAGCATTACACCAAAGTATAGAAATTTCAGGGATAACGGGAGACCCTGGGTTCTTCCATAGCAGAAATGAGATCTTAGACAGAGGACAGAATCAGAAGCCGTCAGCCTTCGGCCCAGGCACTTCAGAAGGTGTATTCAGGGGAATAATTTGATTAAAGTTCTTGGTGAAAGGGTTTTGTGTTGTAGCATTCATAACATAAGCAAATTTGGTGATTGTACTTATTTAGCTACTTAATTTTAGTTAGGTCATGAGTCTCTCAAGAAAAAGTCCTATTTGGGAATGTACTTGATCTTCTAAGTAGGAATTAAAAGCAGAATGATAACATCAATGCCTCAAATTTTCATGAGGAGAAACTCCAAAACCAGGTACAGTAGCAACTGTGATAAACGACCTTTGCTCATTCAGTGTTCGGTCATCAGGAAGAATAAGAAAATGTTTGGAGAAAATTCCTCATGCCTTTCAGCTTATGGGAGCTACAGACTTCAAAACACAACAAAAATTTTTTGAAATGGACTGACAGTAATTAGAGTCAAAGGAGTTTTGAGATATGCCCAAAATATAATTAATAGTTACAAAGTCTTTTTCTAAAAAGTAATGTTACCAAAAAAAGTCTATTTCCTGGACTATATTCTGATGTGCACAGAAGTTGGTGGTGTTAGCAGTGCCTGCTCAAAGTATCTATTTCAATGAATGGGATGTAAATAGGAATGACACTCCTACATGATACTTACACCTACACATTTAGTATTTGATTACTAGAAGTTTATTCAATAACTTTCTTGACAGAATTGTATCATTTATTCTCTCTCATATTCCCAAAATGTTGTTCTGTTATGGCTGGGGAGCAGGGGTAAAAGACACATCTTTCATCGTATGCCTCTTTGTATCTCTTGAATTTAGAACCAAGTGACCATATTCTTATTTAATAAGTAAAATTAGGGGAAAAAACTTTACTTAAGAAATAATAGTGTAATATTTAGAACTATGAACAGTAAATATTAGTAGATGCCTGTGAGGAGCATCTATAAGCAGGAGGTTAGAAGCGTTTTTGTGCTATCTGATTTTTTCATCTGCATGTATTACTTAGACAAGTATTAAAATATTTAATGAAAGCATAATGGTAAAATATGGGAAACTTCAAAACTGTATGAAGAAGAAAATTAATGTAACATATTATCTCATTCCCCAAGCACAGTAACATTTTGATATATTACATAGTTTTTAGTTTTTTCTTCTAAAAATATGTGTTTCTATGTAGCTTTCTTACTGCTTTTTTTCCCCACCCTTTATTTTTATCTCCGTTTTATTTTTCAAAGACAGACATATAACTTTTAAACCATTTTTACAAAGTTAATGTATCTAGCACTTTCCCAGTAAAGAAAATGTTCTCAATCAGTTTTCTTAACAGTGATGGCAATGGCAGGTTCTGGCAATGTTTACCATTTTTTTGCTCTCTGTGAGTTGAATCTTCCGAGATTAAGTTAATTGGATTGTTTGCTCTGTTCACCTTTCCTAATGGTAGAGGCTCTGATAACATTTAAGTTTTGTGACTGGAAACATCTTCAGTCCAGATCTGCCGAAGGCACCGCATTCCAGTCCTTACAAAGGACAAGCTAACTGGGGAATAGACCATTCAATACTTTCTGGTTGGTCCTGTGTGTGTGTGTGTGTGTGTGTGTGTGTGTGTGTGTGTGTAAGAGAGAGAGAGAGAGAGAGAGATTCTCATCATTTTTCTACTGATTCTTTTACATTTTTTATAATTTTTCACCACAAATATTTTCAAATCTGGGCATAGAGCACAGTCAGCAAGAGTGACCTCAAGAGGCCACATAGGCCAGGGGTTTAGACGCTGCTCGGCCAAGAGCTAGCGACACATTCCGGGCAAGAGTCTCCTCTGAGCCCCAGGGCCTCATCTGTACATCACCGTGGAGCACGTCACACAATATCATTTTATGAGTTCACATGATCATTTAATCAGTTATCGGATTATATATATAATCTAAATATATAATCTTTCTCTGTAGATACATATAGACATAAATTATATATCTATATATAGAGATATAAAATGTCAGACATCAGGGTTGGTCAAGAAATACTTTCCCTACTTTACAGGAGTGTTATCCATTCACTGCAATGTCTAGAGCAGAGTGGCAATCGGAATATAAAATGTCACAAAGGAGATTTCAAGTGAGAGTCAGCTCCACTGGGCAGGCACCACCTAAAGGCCCTCCCCTTCCAGCTGGGGCCCACTCCCAGCTTTCCGTGGCTCATCCCTGAACAATAGTGAGGGTGATCAAAAGCAGGAAAGCTGCATCACCGCTTCATCGAAAGCCTTCCTTGGCTTCCGTCTCGTGCAAAGTAAAATGTGAAGCTCTTCTGTGGCCTCTGAGGCCCCTCTATCCACTCCATCCCCAACTCTGTGGTCTTCTCTACCTCTCTCATCCCAACTTTCTCATCCAAAGCATGGAGACAATGAAATGTCCTAGAAGCATTATTCTTTCATTAATTCATTCAGCCTTTGAGGCCTAAACCACATGGCCTCCTGCGGCTGTTGGGGATCCCATGCGCCCGCGGTTCCCCTGCAGAACACGCAGCCCCCGATGGCCCCGCCGCTTCCTCACTCACGCCCAGTGCGGAGCCCCTGCAGGACCACTGTATAAAACCAGCAGCCCTCCCCTCCCCCTCCCCCCCTCCCCCTGCTAATCCCTAGACCACTTCACACACTCTCCACAGTGCGCTTCATGCACAGACTGTTTATTTGATTATCAGTCTCTCTGTGCCAGAATAATCACTCTCAAGGGCAGGATATTAGCTATGACTCCTGCATCTGGGCGTGTGGAGAGTGCCTGACACCTTCCATTATTTTTTTTTCAATGAGGAAATGGCTTAAACATTAAGTATTTAATCTTAACTTCACCTTATCAATCAACTGTGTTAAAAGCCAAGCATTAAAAGAATGTGAAGGGTTTGGGAGAAATCTCTCTCTTGCCCTTTCCATCCCAGATCCTGGAACAGGGAGGCCTGGCGGAATCTGGCTCCAGGGCTTCAGGTGCCAGGAATCTGGAAACACTGAATACTTGTATCCTGTCAGTTAAAGATCTAAGGTGGTTTCTTCTTGAAAAGGCAGGGACTCCAAAATACTTTATACAAAATTCTGTTTCAGGATGAACCAGAAAGCGCTGTAAATCCCCTTTTCTGTGTTTGTGTTCTCCATCAGGTGCATGGCTTAGCAGGAGCACCTGTGTCTAATCCTCTACTCCATCCTCATACGCACACACCCATGACGGTGCCAGGCATCGTTTAGGCATGAAGTAAGTGGTGGAATGAATTAGCGAAGAAAAAGAATATGCACTCAAATAAGAGGGCGGAGAAGTGGTTAAGTTATATTTTAGAACACTTTCTACTAAAGAGTCAAAATCAAGTTCTAGCACAAAAGGCTTATTCTTAGCTTTTAGATAGGGGCTTATAAATGTTTTTTAAAGCCTCATGCCTTTGGCTTTTTTTCTCATCTGTACCACTTGAATGGCAATAGGTAGATAAAGGATACCTGGGTAAGGAATTTTCCCATAGGTGACGATTTCATATAGGAGAATTCCGAAGGACCACACATCAGACTTAATAGTGAAACATCCAAAGTTGATTGCTTCTGGAGCTGTCCACTTGATGGGGAATTTAGCACCTAAGGGAGAAGACACAGGAGTCTTACTTGAGCCTCTGATCTAACACCAAAAGTCATGGCCATGTGATCCTCATATTTTCCTTCTTTTGAGAAAATTATGATTATTTGTTTTGAATAGGTAACACATGGTGCAAAATAAAGATGATACAAAATGTTGTACTTAAAATGTTTGCCGGCCTCCCTCTGTTTCCCATTTGGGCATTTCCCTGTTAAGGAGTAAAGTTTCTTGTGTCACCTCCCAGGGGTATCCTGACCAGCTCACTTTACATGGAAATGCACATGACACAGACTGTGAAGGCATTTATTCTTAGCTTGTCCATCTGTCCCTCAGCACCAGCATCTAAAACATATAGAGGCTGTGGCAAAAGTAGGTTTACAGTTGTGAGTATGTGGAACAGTTTATTCTTGTATTATTACTTATTAATTATTGTATTTTTTGCCTTACAAACTGTAAACCTACTTTTGCCCGACCCAGTGTATATCTTTAGTGTTCACATTTTCTCTAATTAACTCATATTATGTTTATATGGAATATAAATGTCTCTTGCTAAGCCCCCACCAAAAGGAGCTTCAGATGGTACTGCGAACTTGAATGTTTCCTACTTTCATTTGAAGGAATCAGCTAGACATTATTACACTTTTAGGAATTGGGTGGGATGATGATTTGCCCAGAATGAGGCAGTGGTGATACTAGGTTTCCCATTAGAAGCTGGGGAGGCTAAGGGACACCTAGCCATTAGGTCACATGAGAAGCAAACCTGGCCCGAGGAACTCCAGGGTCCCGTTGGGGAAAGTGGGGACTCAGGCACGGACTGTCACTCCTACGCCCGGGAAGGCTAGGGGTTTCCAGCACAACTTAAAAAGATGTTTTAAACATATTTGCCTTTATCATGTCTTTGCTTTAGAATTTGTTGTGGTGTCATCCAAAATCGGAAATCAGAATAAGAACAAAAAGGACAGAAGAAAGCTTCGCAGAGCAGCTACTGAGTGTGGAGCACTCAGTGTAGCTCATTCCAGCATGAAATGCCCTGCCTGGGGGCAGCAGTGCAAGGAGGGCCCCGGGGCTACAGCTGGGTTTCAATCCGGTTCTGCTGATTCCCTCTTGGTGGGACCCCCGGCAAATCACTTACTGTCTTTGTGCCTTCTTGGCACCTCCATCTGTAAAATGAAACAACCGAACCTCCGCAGGTTGCTGTCAGGGTTAAGTGGTTTGACCTGTATGCTTAGCACAGGGTAAATACCAATGGAAGGTACATTGCATTACTGTTTAATTCTAGAACCTGAGCTCTCTGCACCAAGCCGCCTGTCTCATTCATGAGAACAGTTATTCTTGTGAGACTCTAGGCTTGTCAAATTTGACAAAACCAGTGGAATACATTCCAGCTCATGTACTTTGAAGCTGGATCTCGTGGGTTTGAATCCTGGCTCTACCACTTACTGTGGGACCTCAGAAGCTGCTGAACCTCTCCCTTTCCTCACCTATAAGACGGGAATCATCATCATCATAAATGAGATAATGAATGACAAACACTTAGAATAGTGCCTGCCACGCTGCAAATGCTCACTACATTTTCGCTATTATTTTTTTAACTGCTTTTCCTCAAACTGTTCTCCTGTACCTACCTTTTTGTCAAAGGTGATTAAGGGCAAGGATAAGTAATAACCCATTTAAGAGAACATAGGATTCAGGCAGGAGGAGAATCACCTTAAATATGATGGAGGCAAGAAACGCCACACAAACCAAAGTGATGTTTCAATGTGTTTGTCACCTCTGTAAGTCCCACGGACGCCTTGCAGAAATAACACTCATGTAGTTTAAAGGAAAATAATCCTTGTTTAATAATTCTTAGGAATGTCAGTAAGTGCTTGGCTCTTTTGGAAGAGAGAAAGCACTGCAAAAATATTCACTCAACTTTGGTGAGGGAGACCTTCAGAATCCTCAGGCCATAAGCATCACGGACAAGTAGGGAACAGGAAAGGCCAGTGCAGCCCAGACATGGCTCGACATGGAGCAACATGCCAGGAACCAGGAGATCTATGCCTCTCAGTGCATTTTTCTTTAAAATTTTATTTTAATTTATTTTTTCAAATACATTTGTCTCTGCCTCCCCCCACCACTTTCCCTTGCCCCCTCCCTCCTTCCCTCCCTCAGCTCTTCCCCTTTGGTTTTCAGTGCATTTTTAAAAAGAATTTTACTTATTGATTTTAGAGAGAGGAAGGGAGACAGAGAGGAGGAGAGAGGGAGAGAAACATCGACTTGTTGTTCTACTTCTTTATGCATTCATTGGTTGTTCCTTATACGTGCCCTGACTGGGGATCAAATCCCAAACCTTGGCTTATCAGGACCAACTGAGCTACCCAGCCAGGGCCTCTCTGTGCATTTTGGACTCATGTTTATAATATGAAATGTGGGAAAGTAAAGGAGTGTATTTTTGAAGCATTATATTTCCTTCTATGTGTGTAATAATTTCTGGTTTAATTTGTAATTAAAAGGCCAGAATACAGAATATGAAATAATTGTTACAAATATTTTCTCTATATAGTAAAAAAGTGTACTTAATTATTTGGGTGAAAAGGTTTAATGTATAATATAAACAAAGAACCTTGACTTTACCAAACTCTTTGTGTTTTGCTTTGCTTACTTAAAATACAAATGATAGCCTCTGTAAATGTTATAAAAGTATCACGTAGAACTAAACAAGAGAGCGATTTTTTTAAACAAATATTAAGAGTAGAACCACAAACAGCAACTATGGTACATTTAGAATATTTTACCAAATGAGTTCTTTTTAAAAAATGACTATTGTTATTGCTGTTAAAAATGGACAAAAATAAAGCTAAACAATAACAAAACACCTAATGATCATGAGGGGAACATACCCTCCCTTGCCGTGTACTCGTTATCCTCAATCACGCGAGCAAGGCCGAAGTCGGCAATTTTGCACATTAGTGACTCGGAGACCAGGACATTAGCTGCTCGCAGGTCTCGGTGAATGTAGTTCTTCCTCTCGATGTATGCCATTCCCTCTGCGATCTGAAAATAGAAGATTGCACTTTTCAGTTCAGGGTAGACTATCATAGAGCGCCATCGAGGAAAATCCAAAAAACTGCTGAGTTCCTGAAATCCTTTCATGCATGTTAGCCTGATCATTCAAGTTTTAAAAACGGTGGCTAAATGACAATCACCACTCTGAATCTTTTCTAAAATAACTGCCCCCCAAAATCTTCAGTGATGGTAATATTCACTCAACATAATGGTAAAGACTCAACATGATCTTTTAAATAGCTACATCGCAACATTTTCTAATGTGTGGAGAAGCTTTTTAAGACTCTGCTAAATTCTTGCAGGTAAGTATACAGATGTCATTTTCCCAGTTTTTCAAATGAGAGAACAGAGCTGGAGAAAGTGACGTGCTGACACAAGTAAGTTATTAGGGTATCAAGAACAGAATGTCCTTGGTCAGCAGCGTCCTCCCTGTCAGGTTAATCAGCAGCATGGAACTGGTTCCCCCAGTTCTCTCTGTTCAGTCCCTCCAGGATGCCCAAAGATTCACTCTGACAGCAAAGTGTGATGGCAGGAAAGAATTCAGGATTTAAACAAAACAATAAAATAGGGGAGGTGAAACTACTATACATTACTTACTAGAAAATCAGGATTTTAAGGAAAATAGTACCAGAATATTAAGATAACTATCTAAAAGAAAGGAAGGAAGAGGCAAAGGTAGAGAGGAAGAGAAGGAAGGGAGGGAGAAAGGGAGGGAGGAAGGCAGGGAAGGCCCCCTTCTGACTCAATTCAAACCCCGGGTTCAGCCAGGCCATGTTGCTTAGCAAAGGTTTAGCTCCTACCTACTGGGTACGCTTCTCCTTGACCTCCTTCTAGAACACCTTTCCCCATTTTGCAAATCCCTCAGCTCACCTTCTGCTCAGAGGGCCTTCTCTTAATTCTTGGGTACTATAATTTCTCTTCCCTCGATACCTGCCTGCAATGGTCAATTTGTACAAAAACCATTTGAACCTACTGATCATAGTGTTGTCATTGTTTGAACGTTGTTTAATGTGCTTAGAGTTGTTATGCTATATAAACAGGAAATGCCTCCAGGACAGAAGTTACACCCTATGTATTTTCTGTTCTCACCGGTATCTACTAGAACCTTACACCTTTTCACCAAACACCTCCTCATGCAAAGAAAGTTCTTTGGAGAGTGAGCTGGGTTTTTAATGCTACCAGAATATCATGTTGGCACACAGCTGCAGGAATTTGCCAGAGTATATTTCTTTGTGGCCACAAGATCACTTACATAATAATTGATGTGTACTAGGTTAGTCTCAAAGTCCTGTCTGCCCAGCAGTTCGAGTCTGACTAACACCAAGGAATACTGTACTGAACAGAGAAAATCATAAATCAGAAAGAACAAAAGAGGTCTAACCTTTTTCTTTAGTATAAATGACCATTTAATAATGTTCAGTTCTGTAACCAAGAACAATGGGGGCAGCACAGGAGCAGTGCATAGGTAGCGGAGACCAGGCCACATGACGCCCGCAAGGCGAACTTGGAGCCTAGGCACGGCCTGCACAGCTCGGGCAGCGCCCACTTCCATAATGGTTTCGGCTCCTGCACCCCTCAAAGGGAACACTTTAATCTGTTGTGCAAAGCCAACCAGGTCCAGCTCCTTAAGTCAGCTGCCGGGGCCCTGTATGACCTGCCACTTGTTGAGCTCTCCTGCCTCCTCACAGTGACCATTGCTCTCCTGTATCTGGGCTTCCACACCTGCCTCTGCTCAGCACATTCGCACCCTGCCCCTCTTCCCAGCACAGTTCACCTTGTAGGTTTCAGCTGAGAGGTCACTTCCTTTAAGAAGCCTGGCCTGACTCTTCTCATTTGATGTGTGTGGTCCCAGTGCCCCTGCTTCTTACCTGTTTAGTTGTCTATGGTCATGGCAGGAATACAACCCCCTTAGGGAAAGTGTAGGGTATGCACATTCCTGTTCTTGGACACTTAGGTAACATTTCAGTAATTGTATACAACCTGGGCCAGGAACCTGAACGAGCCAAAGTTGGCTGCAGTCCCAGTTTCAGCCTGAGTTTGCAGTTGACGGTAGCAATCAGGAACTGCTCTGAACACACTCCTCTAAGGATGCTGACTGACCCACACAGATGCCTGCTATTGGCCCTGCAAGAGCCCCTAAGATATGGCACCAAAGACCCACATCTCTCTCGTTCTTGGTGATGGGTTTGAATGATCAGCTTGTTAAGAAAGGCATTCTGGGAACTTGTGGATAAGGTTTCAATCACACCTACCCCAGTTCTGCATTTTAAATCTGAATGCATTTAAAAAAATGATTCTCTGAAACAACGGTGGACTTACAACAAGCCCAGTTTATTTTGGCTTTCTTTTCCATGTCAGAGTGCTTTAAGGAGCTCATGTTCCAAACAACAATAACAGTATTCACCAAGACCAAGATTCAAAACACTAGCATTGGCCAAATTGAACAAGTAACAGTTATGGGAACAAAATAAAAGCTTTCAGACATGGCTTGCTTTTGAGGTCATAAAAGACTACAGCTTTCTTATATAAAAATCATCATTTCTCTTGTCTATATGTATTATTCTTTCATGGGTTTTTTTTTTTAAACCTTAATCTTTTTTTTTTTTTTGGTTGTATTTACTTTGGCTAAAGTGTATCTGGCTCTATTTTGTAATAACAGGAAGAAATCAGAGACCACTCCGGCTAATGAAGTCTAAGACCAACTTTTCTTCCTTGGAACACCTTCTTCCTCCCCCAGGCCACTTAGTCTAACAACTGTCAGCACTGCAGACAGAGCTGTCCTATAAAGGCCTCCCACCAGCCTCAGCTGTCCATCCGGACCCCAAAGAGGGGAGTGCTCGCCTCCCGCTTCTTATTGTTCCATAGAAAGGCTGAGTCATGAGGTAGTTATATAGAGTTGCTCAGGTCTGGTGAGAAAAGAATCTGAGGTTCAAGATACCGTTTTGTGTCCACAGGTATTTTACTATGAGGATATGACAGGTAGGCAGATGATTTATAGGCAAGGAAATAGATAGATAGACATTAATAACCACTATGTCTCCCAATACTAACTGAATACTTATTAAGTACCAGCTACTGTATTAAATTCTTTACACCCAATGCACGTTTTATATGAATACCAAGTCCACCAGGTTAAATTTTATTTCCATTGTACAGATGCAAATGATGCTTGGAACCTGCTGGAAGCCACAGAGTGAAGGAGAGAGCCAGAGGGACATCAGGTGTGTCTACCTTGATATCCACACTCTCAACACCACATTCCAGAAGGTCACATCAACAAGGAGCTCGTTATTGGATAGATAACTAGATGCTCCAGGAACTCTAATTTTTTAATCAAGAGAATACTCTTTTACTGGGAAGAAAGAAAAATCCTTTTGAAGGTTCCTCCCAGAATTCATTGTTAAGCACAAATTTCACCCGTCAGAAAACTTCCCCTTGGTAGAGGTCAGGATATCCATCTCAGGAGGTATCTGCAAGCGTGGTTTGTGTTTTCCCTCTAGAACAGTGTGTCTCAACCTTTTAAAATTGTCATCCCCTAAGGAGAAACATTTTAATTTTAATTAAAGTTATTTATTCTTAATAGGAGATATTAAATACAAAGAAATAAGATTTTATCAACTAGATTTGAGGTTCGGAGAGCCACAAGCTATTGTAATATCCTTTAAGATTTCTTCAACCCCCCAGGAACCAATTTTAATTCCCTGGGGGACCATCTTGCCTGAATTTTGAAGGTCTGGTCTACAAGATGCTAAATCAAACTAAGGAGATTTAAAGCCAGTTTTGTCTCAAAAAAGAGGGAAATGAGATGGATGATGATATATGCTTGGCTTGGATAAGGTTAACACTCTTGTCAGAATGAAAACAACCAGGCTAAGATATTGTTTCATCCAAACGGCACTATATATTTTTTAAAAAGCATTAACTGCCATTCCCTTTGGAAATCTGAAGTGCTAAAAGGAAATTACTTTCCCAGAGTCACACCATAGGTTAGTTCAATGGTTTGGAAGTGATTTTAATTTTCCTTTTGGACATCTAGTGGTAAAAATATGTTTTAACCCTTATGCCGGTATTAACTCTGGCTGCATACCTGGGGAGCTTTTAAACAATACCATCACCCAGGCCGCACTCTAAACCAATTAAACCTGAACCTGTAGGAGAGGGGCCTCCTCAGAGGATTCTCACACGCGGATACCTGCCCTAGGCCCTCGCAACACTGAGAGTGGCCCTCGGACCACGAGCAGCCTTGACATGGTCTGGGAGCTTGGTAGAGGTATGGCATTTTGAACTCTGACCCTGACTTATTTCATCAGAATCTGACTTTTAACAAGGTCTCTGAGTGATCTGTATGCACATTAGAGTCTGAGAAGCACTGCACTAGATCATATGCTTCAAAACTTCAGCTATTTAGGATTTGAAGTTCTAGAGAGATTGAATCAAAACCTTGATCTCAACACAGGCCTACAGACCAGCTGGCCAGTGGACCGCGGTCCTCAGAATGCTTGGGAAGGGAAGCCCCAGTGTAACTCAGCTTAAGAGAAGGAGCAAAACGTGCTCAGCTGCAGTAAAAGCTGAGGCCAGGAGATGGGGGGGGATGAGGGCACTGGGCAGGGTCCAGGTCCAGATGACAGAGGTGCCAGGAACACCTTCACACCTCAGCCAAAGTCCACGTCCATCAACAGCTTGGAATATGTGTCTTTTAAGTTTCTGGATTTCCTGTAACTTAGTGAAAGTGACTCCTCTGGCCTCACAGCTTGGAGGCAGGGGGACCTTGGTGTCTCTCTCTCTCAGGGGTGTCCAACCTTTTGGTATCGCTGGGCCACAATGGAAGAAGAAGAGTTGTCTTGGGCCGCACATTAAATACATTGAGACAGGTAATCACACACACACACACACACACACACACACACACACACACACACACACACAATCCCATAATGCTTTAAGTAAATTTATGATTTTGTGTTGGGCCGCATTCACAGCCATCCTGG